TTTCTCCACAGTGCTCCTCTCGGTCTATTCTCTCCGCAACGAACAAATCTCCGCTTCTCTGGTTTATTCCACAATACTGTCTTTCGCTTCCTTCCAAGTCAACACGAGGTTTTCGAGCAGATAGCCGACCCAGATCCAGCCCGAGATCTTTAGCGATATTTCCAATAACAGATCCGCGTTTCAGCTCCTCCTGTATAGAATAGCTCAGATCTCCGTTTGCGTATTGGATTATATTAAAGAGAAAAACAAAGCAAAGGCTTTGACAAAGACGCTGTCTGTGCGCCATCCTATGACAACACTACACAGTTAAAAACACGTTATCTTAAATCTTTTAAAAACAAGTCCCTGGATCAGTATATTTCCATTTTTTGTCGCTGGTATTGTAGCCTGCAGAGAATAGAATGGTCGAACCCACTGATGGGTGGTGTGGAAAGTAGGTTGAAATTCCCCTGCTTTGCTGGTGTATAGTGACACCCTGAGCATAAATAGCACATAACAGTTTTGCAGAAAACTTTTTTGCTTGATCCGTGAAGATATCATTTCTCTTTCATACTTTGAGAAACATTTCAACGCAGGTATTCAAACACAGCTGTATGAAGGCAGGATAGTGTAATTTTTTCTTCACTACTCTTTATGTGACTTTTTTTCATTGATGTTTACAGGCTACATTAAATGGCACTATCTCTCATCCGAATCAAAACTTTGAAAACATACAAATGCTTCGTATATTTTTCCACGCATCATTTACATTATAGCTGCATTTTTTAACATTTTGCCATTGCTTGAAAGTCAGTCTTGGTTTTCCTGTTAAACTCTCCCTAAATAGTCTGGATAACTTTTAGAATTTTGTCTTGAGACGCCCAAAAACCCTGCCCTTAACTTATACGAAGACCATTAAAGAAACATTAGTTCACTAAAAATATGCAATGAATAATAACAGAAAATAACAAAGAACCAGTGCTTTCAGTGTTTCAGTAAAAAATGTCAATACAAGCATTACCTCAGTCACCATGAGATTTAAAATAAAGGAGGGATATTACTACTTCTTTCATGAAGAAACAACTTCTATAAATATGTACAATTCGCTACCGAGAGTCATGTATAACGTGAATTGTCACTCTGTGACCACAAACAATTTTATCCGGTTACACTTGTGATTCTACTTTTCCTTATTTTTAATCGTAGTTAAGAATAGATGTGATGTCATAGCAAAATCTTGTTAGGAAAATGGAACACACGTCTCCATAAAAACAAATGAAACTGTTAAACTGTAGCCTAAAAATAAAAAAA